TGCCAACACCTGCGCGAGACGATCACCGTGGCATCCGCTCGCAGCTGAGGAGACCACTGCGCACCTGATGCACTCCCTCGTTCCCGGCTGCCCACAATTTCGCCCTCCGCGCTCTCGATAGGTTTTGCGTGAGTTCTGCGAGCCTGCGACCGCCTGCGGAAGGTCTGCCGATCCGAAGCCGAAGGTATGCACGTAACTCAGCCATCCAGGGGAACAACCACATGTGGGACGTAGACATTCATACACGTAACGATACCAAATGAAACCAAAACAAAAGGAGCCCACACATAATTGAGCCAGGTATGACGACCGGACTGATAATTTCGGTAAGTGACTGTCCATGGCATATGTTGCACAAGGTATGCAAGGTGGTGAAGCTGGCAACGAGTGTAATATAGTGTAATTAAAGCTCTTGCTCCGAGCTGTGCTGTAGTACTGCTGTTGCTGTGCTGTGCAATCAATGTTCATGACGGTACCTCGTGCGGCGGAAGGCAAAATGCCTGCGATGCACGAGTCCAAGAGCTGACGTGACCGACATTGCATCTCTCCCTCCCTCTTAATTGGAACGTAAGTTGATAAAACGATGATGCCATGGATGATCGGAGAAACACGATATTTCCGGAAACCTTGCCTGACGTCCTCTTTGCGAGATTTTCAAGATAAGCTTCAGACCATTTCAGACCCCATCCGACCAAAACCGTAATTCCCGGCCATGTATGCCCATATATTCCCGAAACCCAGGTAGGGTCCCCGTCTTCGTGATTTCATAGTGGTGGGTGATGACATCGCTAACTATACAATCGTGCCAGATTAGTGTACTTGGGGCTCGACGCTCCCAGGCTGGTTTATTGAAATTTATGTCATATGGGTCGGGTTTACATCCACATAGTTACCGAAGATCCCAACACAGAGACCTACATGCACACGGATTGCAACAGATACACTGTGGAGCTGCACCAGTGTATCTCGCACTATCCGTTTTCCGCGAGTATATCTGGGGCTGTCCGTTTGCAAAAATCATTCCGAGAACCCCATAAACACACTCACAAGGCTGCGCTTGCCAAACGGATAACAGACATTCGCAAGCGGATAGTCCCGGATACACTGGTTGGGCCAACCAGTATCTCTGGGACTATCCGTTCGCAAAGAAGAAACCAACAATTCCCCTTGTCTTCAAATTTCGTTCACTCATCCTTGGCCCTCGGCGGCCTGGCCCGGAAGGCCGATAGCACTCAGTAGCCCTCTCACATCTTCGCACTTGACACATAAAACAGTCGTCGGTGAGCTTCGGGGTTGTCCTGTCCTGCCCCAGGCTTGAGGGCATGCCTCGCGGGAGCAGCCCGACGGTTGGCTGGGTGCACGGTTTCACGTGCGAAAACAACCGATCCCTCCACATATAGCATACTTGCTAAAGGTCCCAGTGGCCTCCAAGCAAGCTTCAGGCTGAGATTTTTACTTCTTGCTAATTACGAGGACCAAACCTGAAAGTGAACAACTAAATATGTTCTGCTGAAGCCTCGATATGCCCCGTTCACTGCTGCATGGAACCCATGGATGTTCCACGACGGTTCCCTGTGTGCCTATACAGCTCCGGTTAATACACAGCGCAACAAATGGTCTCTCCCCCTCTCTTTTCTCGATATCGCGTGGTCTCTCTCTCTCTCTCTCTGTCTCTCTTGCTTGCTTGCTTGCAAGGCGTTTGGGAGGTGGGGCTCGGGTCCCCACACCCCCTGCGCGCGAGCGCTACGCCACTCTCTCTCTCTCTCTCTCTCTCTCTCTGCCAGGTAGGACAGAGGCAGCGGACGCTACCCCTGCCGCACGCGAACGCGCACCTGCAGTCCGCAGGATTTAGGTCCTCCCCCCATGACTTAGTCACAAGGGGCTCAGCTGTACTTCAACTGCGACCACCTGCAAAGGACGTTTTCTGGACTTTCCCCACAACCTAACACTAAGTTCAACAACGTCCAGGAATTGTCCTCTAGAGAGGCGTTCCCCCTTGTTACAGGATGCATACAAAGGACAAAGTGGATATTTGCGTCCACGGGCTCGGCTTTACAGCACCGAAAAGATCCCCCGGCAGAAGTCACGTCAAGGAGTATGAGTAAACACATTCAATTTCTGCCAGTGGGGGAGGGGAGGAGGAAAAACATGCACCCCCGTTACTTCGAACGGGTATCACCGAACGGCTTGGATTTGCTTTGCGTTGAATTATGCCTCCATCCCCCCTCCGAATTCCCTAGAGCTCAAGTCGTGTTGAAAAGAAGCCTAGATTGTGCGATTCGATCGCGGGGCTTAACGAAGCCAGAGAAGTTCAAGGTTTGCCACTGGTGGGGCCAGTGGCCCATTTAAAGAGTTCACTACCTGAGTCTGCCGTTGTCTACTTTGTGTTGTAACGGGACAACTGGGAGTCAGGGAACCTAAATCCCCCAACAACTGCACTGCATCGAATTTTTTGTTCCGCAGGCTCCCCCGTAGGGCTCAGTGCGACTCGGTGCTCATGAAGACTCTCCCCTGCGTTGGGCCATGTGGGCTTGTACCTAGCTGCGGGTGCACTAAGTTGCCCGGCAGGGTCTTCAGGGTCGTTGGTCTCGTCGGTCTGGTTCTGTCCCCCGGTCGCTGTGTTGGCTTCCCCCACAGGTTGGGTGTCACGCTCCGTTGTTCTGGACTTGTGGGTCTTTGTGGTCCTGCTGCTCTGTGGCTTCTCTTCCCCCCGTCGGGCTTTGACATCCCGACCGCTCTTTCAACGCCCCGTGCATGTCTGCACAAGCGACACTGCTCCGTCATGGGCCGTCACACCCCCAAGAAGCCAGGAGGATCACCTTGTGTTCCGCGGCGGAATAGTATGGCCTTCCCTCCTACTGGCGGGCCACCCTCGAAAGGGGCCGCGGTCAGGGATCAGGCAGAGCGAAGGGACGACGGGGCCACTTAAGCACACGGCTGCGGATATGAAGCTCAAGCACCACAGGAAAGGCAGGAAGGCTCCCCTGGAGTTACAGTCCAGGTTAACCCCCTGCCTCCCCCCGATGCCCAGGGGCGGCACAGGCCCCCAAGCAAAGGTGTAGCACTTGAGCCAAAATGGCTCTCTCTCTCTCTCTCTCTCTCTATATATATATATATAAATATTGTGTGTGTGTGTGTGTTGGAACGTGGATCTCCCATTCCTCAAGTTTTGCTGGGAGTGGCTCAGTGGCTAGGTAGCTGGCACCTTGCGCAAGCGGGGAGCTATGCCAAACGGGCAGGCCGTTCGCGACCGCCTGTGTGTGGCAGGCACATCGAAGTTCAGGTCTGCGAGCCTCGCCGCGATGAGTGGGTAGGAGGTTAAGGGCGCGAGAAGCCCAGCGGCGGCTCCAGCCCGTCACTGGCGCTGCAGGGCCGGACCGGCAGCTCGATCGAGCACGCCTGTGCTCGCAAGGCGGCCAGCGACGCGAGGGCTGTCCAGCCACGGGGCTTGGTCCCGCGCGCGTGTGCGAGCGAAGGGCTGAAGCAGCGTCAACGCTTGGCTGTCTAAGCCCGCCCACCTTGAGTCCGAAGACCAAGCGGCAGCGTCCGCGCCGCCTGGCTGGAGTTCGGGGTAGGTGCGGAGTTTGCGCGCCTTGGCTTGTTGAAGTGCCAACACTCCATGCCGTCAGTGGCGGGGACATCCAAGTTGAGTTCCCGCAATGCGACGCTTGTGGCGACCCGAGCACCGGCTTCCCTGCAAATGCTTGCGGCGCTCTCGTGGGCCCGCTCTGCGTGCCAGGACTCCGACTTGAGCACAAGCGGACCCCTGAATTCTTCGCTTGGCACCTGGAATTCCGGCCCAGTAGGAATGACCGCTTGCACCGGGGCCGCATTGGGACAGCAGCAGAGCTCGAGATGCAGGGTCAAGGTCAATGAAAAGCATCTCGACATGCATGTGCTGGTCCACACTGCCTCCGGCAACCCCCTTGTCCTTTCAGGGAAGTGTCGTCATCCCCCACCGAGTTCGGGGCCACCATGTCCAAAGGCGACGCCCAAGTTGGCGTTTGAAAGCCCTGAAGGGATCCGTGAAGGCTTTCATGAGGCTTGCGAGCTACGTAACGCTCGGCAGGACGGTGCGCAACAGGTGGTTGCAGCGCGGTGTTGCGCACCGCAACCGACGAATTCCTATTTAGAGTATTGCCTGAATGCTGCCGCCCAGTTTCATCAAGTTAACTGTCCCTTCAACGGCGTGCATGGCAAACACAATCGGTTTGGCCGAAGTCCACCATAAAGGAAAGCAAATTGGTGGTATACTGTACAGGACGTCTACCGCAGCAACCGCAGCATACTTTGGTGGGGGTTTGCAGGGATGAGTACTGGAGGATAAGTAAGGCAAGGACAATGGCTGTGTTCCCATCTGACCCCCCTATGCTCTACACTCCACACCACAAGCCAAGCAAAAAATGACTCTGGGGCCGGAGTCCGGAGAGGCTCTGCGGGAGGGCACACCGTGGATACTCCTAGGTCTTAGGCCCTAGGCCAAGAGTATTCTGCGCCATACCCTCCAGGATCCCTTGAGGGATGGGCATGGGAAGGCGAACAGTGGGGTGGAGAAGGGCTACCTCAAAGTCTGTTGCACCGTTCCGTGCGATCAATGGGACCGTCATCGACACTGGAGGCTGCGCTCGACGCACCGTGATGCGGTCCAGCCGTGTTCGTAAACGGGCCCTTTAAGCCCCTTCCTTAAATCTCCTGAGCTCCATCGAGCTCCACTGGCGACAACCAAGCAGGGCGGATGTGTTGATTTCAACAATGGAGCCAGCAACGCTATCAAGGAGTGGCTTGAAGCTGGATGTCTGAGCATTGCTGTTTGTTGTGGCAGCTACCCAAGGGAGCGCAGCCCGGCGTTGCTTTTTGCACCATGCAGCTCCCCGTCTGTGCATGCGCGGAAAACTCGAACATGGTGGCTTCCGATTCATCGGGCCGGCACGAACGAGAATATAACATTAATTAGGAACAGGCAGTGCGATGTAAATGCACTATGTGCAAAGATCTGGCTCTCAGGAGTGCGGGGCCCTGAATCCTGGCGTGCGGTCGCAGATGCGGTAGTAGGCATGGGCTATCACAAGATATCACAAGCTATCGCTTCTACACCTTCGTGGTGCGAGCAGAGACGTCGCTTGACCTAACCGGAGAGTTCCGATGTCAGAGAAATGCATAATATGGCATAGAAGGGGCGCAGCTGCGCTACATCAGAGCTCTCAGATCCGAGCACACTCCACTCGATACCGCCTGTGAGGCATCTCATGTCATCTGGGGCCACGTGCGAAGTCTGCCAACTACTGTATATCCGATGCGGCAATTGAAGGGGAACTTTTGTGCGGATGAGGCTCTGATTCCGCCTGCATCTTCGAAGCCAGCACAGCCGTCGCTGGGCCGCCTCACAGCGAAAGCACATCGCCTTGCACTCTGGCTGTGCTGCTAGGTCCTAGGTTTCTTTACGTTTGTTGCAAGTTGTCTCTGGAGCTGTTCAAGGAGAAGATGCGCGCAGGTGTGTCAGCAAAAACCAGGTTCCCTCCGGAGGGACCGCTGTCTGAGGCTTTTGTCTAGTTCTGGTCTCCCGCACATGATGAGCTGTGGCAGACAAAATGCGCAGGGTGCTGGGCAAATTTGGAACACCAGCCTCGACTGAAAGAAACATCGAAGTCCGTAGCACGACACATCAGTATGAACAACTGTAACAGAAGACATGCCTTGAATCTCACGAGCTCTCTATAGCCCTCTAAGATTCTCCAAACTACCGGGGGGCCGGTTGCTTGGTGCCGCATGCAAGCCACGGTCCTCTTTCTGGAACTCGGAAATTGCTTTGCGCACGCCTGCGCGCAGGACCTGCCCAGGGGCATTTTGCATTCGAGATGCAAGTAGTCTCACACATCACCTCCTCAGTGCTAAGGTCGAACGCCACCAGCGAGAAACTGAGAAGGACGAAATCCTGCAGCTCTTGCAGTGGAGTTTCTACGAATATCTACGAATCCTGTTGAAGCAACACATGGCTCAACAGTGGAAACGCGGTGGCAGCAGTTTCTGGACCGGGTGTCGCTTCAAACTCGGAAGGACCTCGGCTGCATCGCAGATTCCGAGAGTGAAGAGCGCACATGCCCCTGCCCTACACGGCCATACCCTTCATACTCTTTGCTTTACTAGTGCTGCTTGGGCAGGGTTCCTGTGTGTGCGCCTCGAGTTGTTTCAGCCCCACATCGCGCGCCCGACCCAAAAATCGCCTTCAGTCCAATCAATGGGCTGAGCTGACAATGGCTGATTCAGGGACATCGTCGGAGGAGTGGGAACGACGTCTTCCACCGCCTCCTCAAACAGCTATGCTGCGAGCAACCAAGTCGACATGGAATTTGGGCTGACCCTTCACGACAGGAAAGGGAACGGCGCCAACAGGCAGCCCGGTTTTGGCAGAAACTAATTGGCGATGCACTCGCGGCCTTGAGCCAAACACTGCGAAAGAGGCCGGCCGGGCGCGTGCCTGCGTGCATGCGTGCGTGTGCGCGTGCATGTGTCCCCTTCCTTCGCCTCCTCCTTCAACTTCGATCCTCTTTCATGCTTTTCGTCGTGTGTTCGCCGGGGGAGGGGCACGCTGTAGCACATTGTAAGGTGTGACACTCCGAACCGTTACCGCCGACTCCATCGCCCGAGAACCCTGCATGGAAGTTAACACAGTGGACGTTCGATTCGAAGTTTGCTGTTTCGAGAAACTTGAATCAAAGTTTGCCATGCAAAGATTGCGAAGCGAGCCGGTCACGACAGGCGCCATGATATACTCTTAACTCTTAACCTCCAAGCACTGCCGTCGCTTGATACTTATTGCACGAGTGCAAGCAACAAGTAAGGTGTCACGCACAGTAATCTGTATGGCTCAAACTTCGGCTGACAGTAGGTGCTGCTTTCCGACAATGCGAGGCGAATCTGAACAACCACTGAATGCCCAGACTTAGAAGGACCGTTCCGATGGAGGCGGCTCAAACAACCCGCTTGAAACAAAGGTACCATAAAGGCAGCTAAACGGCAAAAACGAGGATGAAACAAAGCCTTAACCAGGTGAAACACAAGGTAACGAAATGGTAACAAAACGGTGAAGACCAGGCACTGCCAAACGGGGCAGGCGGACGGGCTGGCGGGCGAGCGTCCCTATCATTTTCCTTCACAAACAGCGAACAACAAGGTGTAAAAAAGATTAAAAAACATGTGCAAACCTGGTGCAACACAGGTGAAGGCATGAGTAAAACATAGAAGGAAAAGTGAAACAGAAACAAATAACAACAAGGTGAAGGCCAAGCAAAGTTTGAGCAAAGGACAGGTGTGGGGGAAATCTCGGATCACCTCGCAGGCGAGTGACCTTCAGATCTTTTATAACATCATTTGTTTAACATTTTTCTACATGTTTTGAACTCATTTTACTTTATTCACAGTGAAGGACAATGATAGGAACGCTCGCGCGCCAGCCCGCCCGCCTGCCACGGCTGGTGGGCAGGCGTGGGAGTGCAGGAAAATCCAAGTCACGCGGCCTGTGCCTGGTCTTCACTGTGTTTTTTGTTTAACCTTTTTGTTGCCTTTGAAGTCACCTCGATTTTACCTCTTTTTCTACCTTTTCTGTACCTTACAACTTCACTGTCTTTTACATGTTATTTACCTTTCTTTTTTATTCAATCATATTCAATCTGACGTCTGCCTTTGTCTCCATGGATCGGACCGCCTAAGCCCCGACTTGCAATTGCCACGGCCTCCGATAATCCCGTTTCGTGTCATGACTAGTGACTAGAGATGCAGCTTCGGACCAGAAGATTCCACGAGAAGGGCCGACATTGTGCAGCCTACTAGATGGATCAAGTTCGGCACGGGCAGGTATCAGCAGTGCTTCTACTGTGCTGCCGGCTGTCGCTACCTGTCCTCTTGGGGATCATTTGTCCAGGCAGTGCCAGCCATTCCACCCCAGCCTCCGACGCCAAGATACATCTTCGGGTCTTCGGGAGGCTACAGTACTGTACTGTGCTAGGCTGCTCTGACTGCAAGCACTCGAAGATAAGAGGCAGGCCATATTCACCAGCCCGCAGCGCCTCTGCCAAAGCAAGTCAGTGACAGTCTGAACTTCTGAATGTTGCTTCGAAGCGGAGCCTGATCGAGAAGCGGGTGGCTGACGGACACGGACTCAGTGAAAGCACGTGGCAAATACAATATAATACAATTAAGAAGTCAGATTGAGGGGCTCGATTTCTTCGTTTGTGCAAATGCTTCTACAGTTTGAGGAGCTCAAGTTCTCAACTTGACACGGGTTCGGGCGTGCCAAGAAAGCTTGATGGAGACTTCTTTTAGAGCTCAAACGGGCTTTACAAGGGCTTTACACGCTCTTTCAGGGCATAATAAGGCTGATAAGGTCTTTCTTCTGACTAAGGGCTCAATGATGAGTTGCTATTAATAGGAAACCAAAAACCACTAAGTTAAGAAATTAAGGGGCTCCAGTTTTTAAAAAGCTGTGGTCCGGGTGGCTGATTTTGGATCCCTTTCAAACCAAGACTTGAAGAACTCTGCATTAAGAAATCAGGGTGCCCTCAAGTCTGGAGTTGTTAATAAACATCGTATGCCGAAACCGAGGATACCCTCACCGAAAAGAGCTGTTTCTTAAGCAGCGCTGTCACCGTCGACCCGAAGCAAGCCTCACCATTACGGAATCCTGCTTTGTCATGCTTTGTTACATCGACGTTCCTGCTGTTGTGGGGCTATGCTATAACGTTCTGTCGGGGTGTCGAAGTGCAACGGCTGGAAAGATCTATGCAGGGCTACGGGAACAAAGTCCGAATTTCCGCAGGGCTCATGCGACTGAGTCGAGTGCCCCGACAGGCCCGAAGCCAACCCCTGGCGTTCCGAAGGCCCATGTTTCATCTCTTCCTGCATGAATACAAGCTGCAGCTACAGCGATCCATCACAATATAAACTGGCCCCGCGCAAGTCCTGAAGCCCTTGGCAACTGGTTTGAGCAAAGAAAATCCACAGTCTCAGGCCTTGATAGCTATGATTGCAGCTCTTGCAACACTCGTCGATGGCAACGGCACACTGTGCAAGCAGGCTGTTCCCTTTTGCTTGTCGTGGCATCTGCTCGAATCAGGGTCAGGCGGTCAGGCTTGCCGAATCGTGTCAAACACCCGCACAGCCACCCTTGATGGCTCCCTTGATGTCGTAGCGGCACATTGCGTACCTGCTGTCCCAGCGACACCTCGACGCAGGTGCACAAGCACTCGGGACTCGGGTCGCCTCCTGGTGGCTTTCAAGCAACGGGTGCTAGCAGTCTCGGGCCGCGAACTCTAAGGTCGAGACGACACGATGGAAGTGGATTCGATCTTTTTCACTTTGCCCTTGGAAGCCTTCACTTCGCTGCTGTTCGTATGCCTGGGTGTGCCAGCACTAGCACTCCGTCAGAAGGATTACAAAGGGACGCAACAGAAGACAGAAGTCTCACGGGCTGAGGGTGACCCGCACGCTTTGCGGGATGTCGCTGATTCTGGCCATGCTGCTTTAAGAACTTCGTCTCGCAGGCATCCTCCGCTAGATCGTTGCCTTACTGTGAGCCATAGTGCAATTTTGCGACAAATCAACCCAAAGTTTTTCCAAGCCAAGCAGCAGTGCTCCTCTTCACCCAGCTTCGTCATCTTTTTTCGCACTTTGTCGCACTTCGAGCTTTCACAGCAGACCTCGTCGGATGCGACTTCAGGCAGTTGCAAGGGTTGCTCAAAGGGTGTCCTTGACAAGAGTCGAAACGGCTTCCAGGAGGGCTTGTGAGGGTTTTGGAGGTGTTGAAAACGGTTCTGAACGGGTTCACAGGAGTGTTTTCCAGAAGCCGTTTCTCCAATTCAATCTCATGTCTCCTTTTCCAACCCGGCTTTGAGGTCTAATTTGAGAAGCCCCGTCCGCCCTACCTTGTGAAAAAACAGTAGTGCGCGTTTACATCAGTCATCCCAGTTCCGACTACAAAGCACGGTTCTTCTTTTGGGCCCTTGACATGCAGCGTGAGTGCGTTTCCACCACCCCTTCCCGCCACCATTGCCTCTCCCACCCGTGCACTTCGAAGTGCTCCATTCCCTCGCCTCCTCCCCCAGCCCGTAGTATAGGTACTCATTGTCATCCCAAACAGTTTCCTCCCCTCCTTTCTGCCTTCCTCCTCTCCTTCCTTCATCTCTTTCTTTCAGTCATATCTCCGAGTAGTACGGGGAGAGAAAGGGAGGGCGAAAGGTATGACAGATGACACTGAAAACGCGTGCTACATGGAACAATTTTAGGGTCAACCACTTCAAAAGGTCAAGCGGAAGAGGGGTGTTGACAGGTTGCCAGGCCTAGGTGCGACAAGAAGCTGCGCCACTGGTGCTCAGATTCGCTTCATGTCCAGGCCTCGTCATCGGCTCCAGGAATCTTGGCAGCATCCAGGACGAGCATGAGGTTTTTGGCAGGGCTGCATGTGTAGTCGCTGCAAGCCTCATTGCACCGCGCAAGTCCACGTGTGCGTTTTGTATTGGTGACGACCTAGCTTGAAGCATACATCGACCTTCACTATGTACCGTCATGCTCGGCAGTTGTTTTATGGGAACCTTGGCACCCCACGGCCACGCAGCACGTGCTGCTATCATCACCCACTATATCGTCCTTGGCATTCCTGCGCCAGCTTCTGACATCTCTCAACACAGCTGAAAACAATCATCGGATTTCCGCTTCCGGTCCTTGGAGCTGGAAGCCAGCCCTCTGTGGCGTTGCAAGTAAAACGCTTGCATGTAGCTTTGCAGCACTGCGTCACGTTGTCACCTTCAGTGAAGGTTCAGACTTAGCCAACTCATTTTCAAAGTTCTGCCCTGCGGGTGGTTTTCTCAGCTGAGCCTCCCACCGATGTCGTTAGCCACGGATGTCGAAGCTGTCCAACCATCTTCCACTGGGCACTCAAACTGCTTGCAGGTCTTTTCGCAGCAAGCCTCAACTCGGCTGCACTTTGCAGAGGCACCCATGAGTTTACGGCATACGTGTGAGCACTGGCGTTGCTGATGCCTCGTCGGAGTCAGCGAAGTCATCTGCCTGTAGCTAGCACAGTGCTTGTTTGAGCTGTGGTTTTCAATCGCTAGTGACACGAGCCAAGTGATGAGAAAGCAGTCTGCTGTACTACTTCTGCATGCCATGGGTACAAGCCTGTGCCCTTTGCCCTTTCTGGAAACATCATTTTCAATACACATGGTGGTATGTGGGTAGACGATCAAGCATGAGAACGGTCTGCCACCTGCAGTGGTTTGCCCTGCCTTGCTATCTGCCTTCTTGATTGCATTTATTACATGTCGGGGAAATGTCACCCCAAGGTGGATTACATTCACGAGTTATGCATCCGAATGCGTAAGCTGTCCCAGCGTATTCACACAACCTGCTGGTGCTCGGATGCCATCTCTTCATGCAGAGCTTCAGCAGCCCTTTTGTATGCCTTTGTCGTGCTCACTTTGTGCCGTGTCTTATCTCTGCTTCTCCCTTGCAAAACAACGGGATACTGAAGCATTGCAAGACGAACATGCAGCATCATGCAGCCTTGCAAGGAGAAACGATCCGTGTTCTCGACTGAGTGCACCAGCCGGAACCGAACCGGAATCCAACGATGAAGAACAAACACCAGAACAACCCTCGACCTCTGCTGGCGATGACACGGATGGCCTTCGAGATGTTGCGAGTCCAGCCATCGCTGAGGCTGCAGACATGGGATTTGCACTGCTTCTCGCAGCACCCCTGCATTTCAACAGGACGCAGAATGCCGCAGAAGATGATGCAACAACATGAAACGACGGAAAACCTGTGCCATATAGAATGTCTATCCGGCGGCGCCTCCACGCCACCATCACTCGTTTTGTTCACATCTTCTGGCTTCACAGCAGTGCCAGCTGGACAGACCACTTGGGCACCGTTGCCGCACAAAGGTGCGCAGCACTCCTGCGAGAAGAGTGGGGTACCACTGTAATTGCTGCGTCTGCGCTTCTGCATTATCCTCGACGGTGTTGCCGACAAGCAGAGCTTTGCTCTCGTTCTGTGTCCAACCGGGGACTGAGCAGTTTACAGCTGCACCTTTGTTGAGACTGTCCCCGAAGGCTCACTTCTAACCATCTCGCTCACTGGGCCCGAGGCAGGTTTGGTCACAGCAGTCCTGTCTTCAACGATCGACTGGAAGCCCTTGTGGAGAACTACCGCAAGGTACGCCGCGCAGTCCTCTGCGCTGCTAGACACCTTGGTGACGTCAGTGCAAATTGTCAATCCTGAAAACACCGCACAAACCCGTGGGCGTGAGGCGCAGTTTTTTCAGTTTTTGCTGTGCCTTGCTTGCAGCTTGTGACCTTGGGTTGCCCTAAAAATCCTTGAGGCTGAGGTTAAGGGCCAGGCCGCCCGCATGTAAAAGACAAAGAGCCCTCCAGCAATCCAGAGACGTGCCGCTTCACACGGGGGGACGGTTACCCGGACGAACTACTCCTACTTCTGCTCCTACTTCGCCTCCTCCTACTACCGCTGCTACTACTGCAACTTTTACTTCTTCTACTGCTGCTGCTGCTGCTGCATGCTGCTGCTCCTTCTACTGCCACTGCCACTTCTACTACTTCTACTACTTCTACTACTTCTACTACTTCTACTACTTCTACTACTTCTACTACTGCTACTACTACTACTACTACTACTGTTACTACTGCTACTACTGCTACTACTACCACTACCACTACCACTACCACTACCACTACCATTGCCACTGCCACTGCCACTGCCACTGCCACTACCACTACCACTACCACTACTACTACTACTACTACTACTACTACTACTACTACGACTTCTACTGCTGCTACTGCTACGACTGCTACTACTACTCCTAGTATTGCTATCCTACTACTATTCCTCCTCTTACCACTACTATTGCTACTACCATCACAACAACTACTACTACCACCACTACGACTACGACTACGACTACTACTACTACTACAACTACTATTACTACTACTACTACTACTACTACTACTACTACAGTACTAGTACTAGTACTAGTACTGCTAGTAATACTCGTACTACTAGTACTACTTACTTGGTAGTAGCAGTAGTAGCAGTAGTGGCAGTAGTGGCAGTAGAAGTAGAAGTAGGAGAAGTAGTGAAGTAGTGAAGTAGTAGTAGAAGTCGTCGTAGTAGCAGGAGACGTATGAGAAGTAGTAGTAGGAGTAGTAGTAGTAGTAGTAGTAGTAGTAGCAATAGTAGCAGTAGTAGCAGTGGCAGTAGAAGTAGGAGAAGTAGGAGGAGTATTAGTACTAGTAGTACTAGTAGTACTCGTAGTACTAGTAGTACTAGTAGTACTAGTAAGTAGTACTAGTAGTACTAGTAAGTAGTACTAGTAGTACTTGGAAATTGATTCCGGAAAAAGAGCACGTGCTGCAAAATCGATTTTGGAAACTCTTCAAATTGGAAAGGAATTGGCTTCAATCTTGGAATCGGCGTTGGTTTGGACCGGATGAGGAGCAAAACTTGCGTGCTCCACACCCACTCGGTTTCCACCCTGTTTGTCGGGCCGTCGCGAAAACGCGCTGAATCCGTTGTGGCTTGAGTAGATTACAGAACACTCGAGATGTCGGGAACTTCTTGTGTCGGTGGCGTCCCGTGATGGTCTAATCTGAGCTTAGGAACCCTACATCAAGCTTGCTTTGGCTTGATCCATCCGTTGCTTTTGCCGGCACAGTGGCTGCCTGTGCGCATTCCGTCCCAGCTCACGCAGTTTGGACTCTTGTGTCAAATTCCTGGTCTCTGGGTGCTTGCACTTTCAAGCTTTGCTTCATTGAATTTTTTCAAGAGCTGAATGTGGTGAAACAAAAGCAACAAGTTATTTATCCAATAATTTCGGTTTAAAGTACCTTTAAAAAATTTATCCAACATGTTTGTGCAAAGGCTGTTCAGCTCACGCATGTTTCACATGCGTCTCCAAACAACAATTGTGGGAATCGAAAATATATTTTGTGGC